GTTTTGTGATATATCCTTGTCAATGTTTTAATGGTAAACTTGGCCTATGACCATGTGCAGCATCCTTAGGTTCTAAGGTTTTGTAATATATCCTTGTCATATTTTGGTTTCATTTTATTTTTCAGGTGATGATGGACCAACTTCAAATGAAATGCTTTATTGGAGCTTAGTGGCTATACTAATGGTCTCAGTGTTTACTATAGAAGATTCAATTATTTTGATTTTGTTTGTCTTCTAAGTGAAACATTTGAACTATTATTCAATCGTATTCAGTTATTATACTATTGACCATTGGTGTCACGCCCCAAAACCCAAATTTGAGGCGCGACAGACGCCGTGCACTCATGAGAGGATCCCACAAATGCACAAGGCTCGGAACTTATCATATCATAATCTGATACCATCAAAATCTGAAGATCAAATTCTATAATTTGCTCTAATATTATAAATCTCCAATAAAGTCGAGTTTACAAGAACATGATTTATTTCTAAATCTATGTTCAATCTCGAAATGGCTAGTCTTCTAACTCGTCACTTCCCGTGATTTACCCGTCCTCGGTTTCGCTTCCTGAAATGGTGGACAAGGAAAAACTATGAGATAAACTCAGTAAGTAAATATGGAGTGCGCTTAAACTTATAGCATGCCAACAAGTGTAATCACGAAAAGCGGATACAGTACTGAACTTATAGCATGCCAACAAGTGTAATCACGAAAAGCGGATACAGTACTGAACTTATAGCATGCCAACAAGTGTAATCACGAAAAACGGATACAGTACGGGAACGAAATAGACGTCTCCTCTATAGGTCACGGCCAGTGTTATAAACCTCCCACTGACAGGCTACAAAAATTACTAGTGTATAATCCCACTAGTAGGATAACAAAAACGAACCGGTTCTATCAGTAACATGTCGACATGTGCTAGCGTTTAACCCCCACTAGCAGGGTTACTAATAACATGACCACATCGGAGACAAAACAGGCAGAAGTTCACAGAAAAATCATAATTCACCAATCACTTTCAAATCATTAGGATAATCAATTAAATTTCAAGTAGGCATGCTCAATTTAATGAAAAACATAAAAATTTCACTTCAAATCAATCATACTTGTATAAAACAGGTTTAGTCCCGCCACCACTTCAAAAACAAATCAAAACATGCTTTTAAAAACTGTACGGGCATTACCATAAATTTACTTACCTCACTCGCATAAAACCGAAAACTCGATCTCAGTGCTAACTGACAGAACGATCGGGAACCTAATCAAAATACCCCAGAACATTTAATCAAAATACCGGACATCTCCAAATTTATTCATATATTGCAAACTAATCATTTAAATTTCCGATAATTGTTGACCCTCGGTGTGTGAACAGTAATCTGTAAACAGTACCGTGAACAGTAACCACGGCATGAACAGTAACTCCAACTTCCAAAATTGGCCAAAACACTAGCTAATTCACGGAATTTTCTCCAAAAATCACACAGCAGTCAATTAACACTCAATCACATAAATCCCACTTGAATTAATGCTTAAATTTGTCCTAAAGCTACCGGAATTCCTCCCCAATTTTCTGTCAAATTCGGACATCATACGGCAGCAAATTAATCAAGCTAATTCTACCTTAATCAAGCTTAAAAACAATGGTTTAAGGCTGCCACATACCAGAATCCAGCAAGCAAGGCCGGAGCTGCAATTTGGGGAAGAGCCGGCGGCATGGAAGGAAAATTCTGCAGGGGACTCACGGTTTAACCCAAAATTAAAGGAGCCCAACTTAAATCAAAGCTAAAGAAGGGAGAATTCGAGCTATTTCTTACCAAAAAACTGAGCAATTCGGCCCCGCAAAGCAGGAGCAGCCGGCGGTGAGGAAGGAAGGAGCAGAGCAGATCCGGATTTCCTGCAAGGGGGGAAGGATTTCTGGGTTCTAGAACAAGAAAGGAAGGAGAAATCCAAGCTTTCTCACCGGTTTCTCAAAGGCTGGTGCCGGCGGCTTGCTTGGTTCCTTCCTTTTCTTTTTTTTTTCTCGGGCTGTAGCGGGAAGAAGAGCAGAATCGGGTCTGAGGAGGAAGAAAAGAAGAAAGAAAAAAAAGAAAAGAAGGAAGCTGATCCTTATCCTAAAATCTTTCTCTCTTTAAGTCCCTCAAGTTTGGACATTTTAGCTAATAAGCCCAAAACAATCTTTTTCCACAATTTAGTCCTTAACTCACACTTATTTATCCTAGAAATTTTTGGGGTATCACAATTGGACTCTTGCTTGTCAAAGAAATGACTTTCATTTACATTTTGGAGGTTCAGAAATCAGCATATGCATTCTCTGAATGGCCTAATAAAGCATGGATTTGATCTTATGACTAAGGAAATGATGAGACATCAATAATTTTAAATCAAATTTTAGTGTTACGTATAATAATTAGGCCAAGTCAGTGTTTATTAATTTAAAAATTTTGATTTGACGTCATGGATAGAAGTGTAAACTAAAAAATAATCAAAGTTTAGCACCCAAATATTTTTTATGGAGAATCGAAATATATTTTGGCCTTATTTTGCTTGAATGGAGGTTTTGTCTAATAGTGGTGGCCAATATACCGCAGCTAGCATCCATAGGTTATGTTTTTTCATTTTCGTCTGTGAGGCATCAAGCAAATTCAATGGCCCATCATCTAGCTAAATCTGATTTATAAATGAATGTAAGAAACTATATGAGAAAAGAAGTAGGACTTGGATTCAAAGACAGATTATTGACGCTGGACATGCTCTTAGTGTTTACACCATTTATTTTGGTGATATTTAAGTGTTTTCATTACCAAATTTATAAATGATGAAAATTTTTTATTTGTGGCAGATTTTTATTAGTCACAAATATTTACCTAATTTATAGTGACTAATATTGTTGTAACTAATTTATTTATTTTTTTAAATTAAATTGTGGATTAATTGTGACAAAATATTTTGTTACATCTTGTGAATTTTTTTAGTAACAAATCACATATAGTCACAAAATATATTTGTTACAAATCATAACTTTAGTCACAAGAAAAAAAGAGCATTTGTGACATAAATTTCTCTTTTGTAACTTATATTTTTCA